GGGGGGGGGGGGGGGGCGCCCGTTAAAGAACTAAGATTAAAGAACTAAGATTAAAGAACAAAGATTTCTAGCTACAAAAGGCGGTCGTATGCAACCTAATTCGCCCTCCCAATATTTTGCCACTGGGTGTTTCACCAAAATTTGTAGTACAGAGGACAGGTGTATAAAAGCCTTAACAACTTTGTAAATATCCGTTTTGCAGTTAAACACAAGTATTAATGCTGATTGGTTATCTTTTGCACTAACTATAGTGAACTGTTTGTGCGCCCAGCCCCAGCAACAAGGCACAATGGAAATATAGAACAAAACATTTTACTGCACGTACCTGACAAAGTTCTTGAAAAGGAATGGTCTGAATACCACCTTCATTCAAGTGTTCTGGACAATTCTCCTACAATTTGCCCCAGTTTAATAACACAGTGTTAACATAAAAACAAACCAAATCGACACTCAGATTGCTACACAGAGACAACAGAAGTCTGGATTAGAATGGTTTGTGCACGTAATCAAAGTTCCATTGACTAAGACCCCAGTTGCACGATACCAGATTCACTTGGTACGACATGAATGTATGCCGCTGACGAGTTGTCATAATTAAAATTTTACCACTTGGCAATTTTCGTCTTATGTTGTTATATAATCGCAATTTGATGTGCTTCTGAAACGGTTAAATTCAATGTTTCTGACAAGCGAATCCGTAAGTGAGCCCTAAAATATTTGATGAAAGACTCCAAGACTACCCAAAACATATAGATGTTTATAACGCCACTCTCCAGTCAGTCTGAAGTTCTATTAACTAAAGTAGAGGAGTTGGAGTATGATATTACAAAGCTCAACATGTTTTAATAAAACAAGAAATGCTTCACTGTTGATGGAGTTCATATAAAGTGGAGGTGAAGTTGATCCATTCCAACCTAAAACACGTTTTCATATTTTCCTCAAAATTGCGTAAAAAATGGGAAATTTGACCGTACATTACTGGCTTATGTGCGCAACAATAATTGACTACATGTGTTTGTCATCTGTATATTTATTATATACAAGCATGCATTCTCTTAGTGACTTAGATTAATCTCAAATCTTAGAATTCCGTGTGAGTCTTTCACATTTTCCCATGAAGTATTTGTATTGAAAATGTTGATATGTTTTATATAGCGATTTTAAATTCTGGGACAGGTTATATAAAACTACAGTACGTCATAGTTAAATCGTTGTTACCTCTGAAATGCACGATTCTGATTGGTTAACGTTTCCACTAAGGATATAGTTAATAGTTTTTATACAATCGTGCCCTAATCTTAGCGCATTCTGCTACAAATAATATATTGCTGGAAATAATTTCATAGCAGATTCGTAGTTTCGTCATGCTGAACGGGTGTGATCTATTGCGTCAAAGAACGAAGACCTACCTGTATTTTACCAAGATATCTATAAGCAGTTTGTAATTTCTCATAATACAACGCGTCAAAATTGTTACATGTTTTAGCCAAGGCATTATCCAATTCACTCTAAATTGAGAAATTTAAAATACGTTGGCATTAAGGTCTAAACAAGGCTGGATTTTGGTGGAAGCACTGAGGGAGGTGGAAAATACTTTAGGAGAGGTACAGCAGTCTTGCCCATGCACAACCTCTCTGGGATGTTAATATGGCTTAGAATGAAGTTAACTATGTGACGTATATGCATGTAGTGTACATAACTGATATCTATTCATGAATTATGACTATACAACTCAACCAATTTTGTAACAATACTACAATAAAACATTGGATTAAAATTAAAAGGGTAATTGACACAAAGATGATTATCATTTTTCAATTTGTATGGGTAACCATGTGATGGCGAGTACAATTAGAAATTAATAAAACGAGTGATGTCCCCTGATCGTGAAGACCGAGTGATGTTCGTCCGACCGTGAAGACAATGATCTAAAAAATAAAACGAGTGATGTCCATCCGACCGTGAAGACAATGATCAGAAGGTACAACAAGTAAATTCATTAGTCGAATCGACATGTTATTTACAATCATGGGAATTTGTTAAACACTCGAATATTAATAAGAGTCACTTAAATCAAGGAAGGTTGCACCTAAATAGGAGAGGTACTGCTGTACTTGCCCAAAACTTTAAACACTGTATCAGGACCTCTGAGACAAATTGACTGATTGAGAACCCTATTCCAAATTTAGATATAACGTTAAATTCGCCTCATATACAGCCAAACTCCGAATATGATTTTGGTTTGTTTGATAATCTACTTCCTAATGAGCGTGGCTTCAAAATTGCTAATCTTAATATTAATAGCCTTTTAAAACATATAGACGAATTACGAGTATGCATGACTAAACAACAACTAGATATTTTAGCAATCAATGAAACTAAAATGGATTCTGATGTACCCCTAGATTTAATTTCCCTGGAGGGCTATACCTGGGTTTCTAAGAATAGGAATAGATCTGGTGGGGGTGTTGGTTTCTACATACGAAATACAATTAACTTTTTGATAAGACCTGACTTGGGTCATCATGATATTGAAGCTCTTACGATAGAAATTCATAAATATAAAACCAAAACTTTTCTAGTTTCAACGTGGTACAGACCACCTAATTCACCCATTGACATGCTAACAAAATTCGAAAACATTCTACGGCTTATTGATACGGAAGAGAAAGAGAGCATTATCCTGCATCGGTGATATAAATTGTGATCTATTACACAAAAATCTAGATCATATGACGAAAGAGCTCAATTTCATTACTAATTTATATCAATACAAACAATTGATAGACGAACCTACAAGGGAAACTAAGAATTCGGTATCTTTAATTGACCATTTCTATACCAATAAAAAGGAAAATATTATATTAGCAGGAGTCTCCAAAATAACGATTAGTGACCATTATTTAATATCTGGCATTTTGTCATTCCCATTGTTAAAAAAAGAGGAACATATTTTGGAGTTCCGTGATTTCACAAATTTCAATGAAGATAATTTCCTACGCGATATAGCATCGTCCGAAAACCATAATTTGGATTCATACACGGATTCCTACCGAATGTGGTATATTTGGAAAAATAAATTTACTGAAATTATTGATAAACATGCACCACTTAAAACCCGTAAAATTGGTAAGAAGCGTACCCCTTGGATTACGAAACAAGTACTTCATAGTAAGCGAAATAAGAACTTATTAAAGAAAAAGGCCTTGAAATCTAAAAATGAAAATGATTGGCAAATCTTCAAATCAGCTAGAAATTCTTATAATAAATTAATTAAGTCGTCCATTCGCCATCATTATAGTGTTGAGATTAGGGATAATCAAGGAAATACTAAGAACATGTGGAAAACTATTAATAACTTGATTCATAAATCAAAAAAATCTCAAAATATAACTGAGATCCGTAACGAGAATGGCGAAATGGTTAATATTCCAGGCATACCTAATGCATTTAATAATCATTTCACTGATCTTGGTTTCATTCTTTCCCAAAACATCTCAACTTGCTCTATTCCACCAGAGAGTTATATCAGTGAATCAATGCAGGAATTTATTTTCTGTGAAATAACTGAACAGGAAGTTTGCCAGTTATTATCATCATTATCATCTACTAAGGCATCGGGCCTAGATGGATTACCAGCAAAACTTATTAAAATGGCCTCACATTACATTGCTAAATCGCTGACAACAATATTTAATAGGTCTATATCCACCGGCATATTTCCATGTGAGTGAAAAAATGCAAGAGTCGCTCCAATTTACAAAAGTGGCCCTAAATCTAATATGGATAATTATCGACCCATATCTATTATTTCGGTAATTGCCAAAACAATGGAGAAACTCGTACATAACCAGGTCTATTCCTATTTACAACGGGCAAATACACTAACTAATGCACAACATGGCTTTAGACCTCTCCATGGTTAAATTCCTCAGTGACGAACCGTGAGATAGCAATCGACGATTATAAGATCCACAGACTTGACCGGTTACACAAGAAAGGTGGAGGTGTCTGTGCTTACATCAAGAAGAATATTAAAGCAACTGTCTTAAAAGATTTATCGAAGGTGTCAGTCTCTAACTTTCATCAACTATGGATAAATCTACAATGCCAAAAAAACAAATCAATAATAATTTGTGTAACCTACCGACCACCTGACACTTCTCTAAACTGTTTCGAAGATTTACTTAAGCCAAATTATGTTCAGGCTTTAACTTTGAATAAACAGATTTTAGTGCTCGGTGACTTAAATTGTAACATGCTAGAAAACGGCCAAGAGCGGAGAGCGCTAACAAATTTTTCTACAGAATTAAATCTCACACAGATTATTAAAACTCCAACTAGAATCACGGCGACGTCCCAAACGCTTATTGATGTTATTCTAGTCTCATCCACAGCACTTGTTCTTGAGAGTGGTGTTATTAACACTTCTATCAGTGACCACCTACCAGTGTACGTCCTACTAAAGTTAAAGGCCCCAAAGATGCCAGCATGTTACATTACAACTAGGAGTTATAAAAACTATAATCCCTCACTATTTTCCTCTGACCTTGTCACTAAATCGGATCGTCTGTTATCCATATTATCCAACACCAACGTCAATACAATACTCGAAACCTTCAAAGATGTTCTTCACTCAACTCTCGACGTGCATGCACCGTTAAAAACCTTCAAAATTCGAAATCGATCATGTCCATATGTCACCAATGAAATAAAAGAACTCATGAAGTCTCGGGACCTACACCTCCGTCGGTTTCAACTGACACGTGCTGAAGGTGATTGGGTAGTTTACAAAGAATATCGTAATAACGTAAAAACCAAAATTAAAGCCGCAGCGAAGGACCACACCTTCAACGAAGTAAGAGAACATAAACACAATGCGAGATCCCTATGGAAAATAATTAATAATATAATTCCCTCGAAGGAAAAGGAAACACAAGTTTATAGTAAAGATCCAAAAACAGTTGCAGAAGATTTCAACCTTTTTTTTACTTCTGTGGGACGGAACGCTGCTGCGACAGCCGAAAGTTTAGCCAAAGACAACAATGTTGCACTGTCAAATCCTCTGTCAAATGTAATCACTTATCCATCTGATCAACTGTTCAATTTCCAATCCGTTACTTGTACAGAGGTTCAACGCATCATCATGGCTATGCCAAGTAATAAGTCACCAGGACCAGATAAAATAGGCATGCGTGTCATCAAAGACTGTCTTCCAATCATACTGGGTCCTCTTACGCATATGATAAATTGCTCTCTAATGACAAGCACATTCCCTGACCTATGGAAGATTTCTGAAGTTATACCCCTACTAAAAGAAGGAGACCACGAGATAGCCTCAAACAATCGGCCTCTCTCACTACTCGAGGTAGTTTCAAAAGTTTGAAAAAGTTGTTCTAAATCAATTTAGCTCCTACCTCAAAGAATTTAATCGCATATCGTCACATCAAAGCGGGAATAGGAGTCTTCACTCCACCGAAACCTTAAACATATTTGTTACCGATACGATGTTGGAAGCCATAGACAACAAAAATCTTACGGCACTAATTTTATTAGATTTATCCAAGGCATTTGACAGTGTCAGTCATTCGATTTTATTACACAAATTGAGTTGTATCGGTGCTTCACCCGAAGCTGTTAAATGGTTCCAAGACTATTTAACAGGCAGATCCCAATACGTGCGCATTGGATCCACCAAGTCATCAGCTCGCCCAATAACCCATGGCGTTCCACAAGGTGCAATACTATCACCACTTCTGTTTTGCATCTATATTAATGATCTGCCACGGAGCATACAATCGTGTAACCTTGATTCATACGTAGACGACTCAAAGCTTTACAAATCATTCTGCATCTACGACTTGGAACAGACAACTATCAATTTAGAGGCAGATCTACAAATAGCAGCCAAGTGGTGTTTGGAGCACCAATTACTGATCAATCCAGAAAAAACTAAATTCCTTGTAGTCGGTTCAAGACCCATGCTGCAGAATGTACCTACAGAAATATCGCTAACATTTTTAGGAAAGACTATAAGACCTGTTTTATTAGCTAAAGATTTGGGTATCAATTTGGATTCGTACCTATCCTACGACGACCACATATCTAAACTCGTTTCGTCGTGTATGAGAAAACTATGTCAAATAAATCGCGTGAAGGATAGTTTCGATAATGAAACATTAAAATTGGTCATTGAGACACTTGTAATTAACAAGCTTCTGTACTGCTCTACGGTGTGGTCCAACACGTCATCTAACAATATCAATAAACTTCAATCAGTGCAGAACTTCGCGTGCAGAGTTATATCAGGGTAGGAAAGTTCGATCACATAACTCCGGCGTTGCGCGAACTAAATTGGTTGCCAGTGGAAAAGTTATTATTGGAAAGGGATACTGTAATGGCTTTCAAGTGTTTTAATGGACTTGCACCTGACTACCTAGTAGATAAATTTATAAAGCGTTCCGACATACATGATCGATCGACAAGAAATCATGACCTCTTGGACATCCCTCTGTATAAATCTGCTACAGGTCAAAGAACATTTAATTACCGGGGTGTTAAAATATGGAATGACTTGGATGATAAACTAAAAAATATTACATCAATAACAATTTTTAAAAAAAAACTTAGGGAGATTTTACTAAAAGAATCCTATTAAATACATTTAATATTTTATACTCTTTGTACATATTTTAACTAATTTTAAATAAGTATATGTAACATAGGTAGTTTTAGTAGTAATTTATAGTAATTTTAATATGTAATGTAGTGTTGAAAAGCTGTTTGGGTTAGGGTAAAACGCTGATACGGACGGACGGACGGACGGATGGGCGGACGGACGGACGGACGGATGGGTGGGCGGACGGACGGACGGACGGACGGACGGATGACCTATTTTTCTCTAAAATATGTTTTAAACATCATATCCGCGTTTTACCCGATCGGGTAAAACGCGGATATGGTGTAAAATATGCTTTTCGGCTCTTTCAAAGGCATATCCGCGTTTTACCCGATCGGGTAAAACGCGGATATGGTGTAAAATATACTTTTCGGCTCTTTCAAAGGCATATCCGCGTTTTACCCGATCGGGTAAAACGCGGATATGGTGTAAAATATGCTTTTCGGCTCTTTCAAAGGCATATCCGCGTTTTACCCGATCGGGTAAAACGCGGATATGGTGTAAAATATACTTTTCGGCTCTTTCAAAGGCATATCCGCGTTTTACCCGATCGGGTAAAACGCGGATATTGTGTAAAATATGCTTTTCGGCCCTTTCAAAGGCATATCCGCGTTTTACCCGATCGGGTAAAACGCGGATATGGTGTAAAATATACTTTTCGGCTCTTTCAAAGGCATATCCGCGTTTTACCCGATCGGGTAAAACGCGGATATTGTGTAAAATATACTTTTCGGCTCATTAAAAGGCTCAGTAAAACGCGGATATGGTGTAAAATATGTTTTTCGGCTCTTTCAAAGGCATATCCGCGTTTTACCCGATCGGGTAAAACGCGGATATTGTGTAAAATATGCTTCTCGGCTCTTTAATTAAAGGCATATCCGCGTTTTACCCGAACGGGTAAAACGCGGATATGGTGTAAAATGCTCTCGCGTATTTAGTATAAAATATAATATCTAAATATATCTTGCGATGTTTCACTCCGCTCCTGACACCGTGACAGGTACAAGTGGAGCGAACTTTGAAGTTTGAACAATTGAATTCGCTGCAAACTGTATTTTTTCAGTGTAGTCAATCAGCTCAATGAAATGTCGTTGTTTGTGAGTTTGAAAAATTGTAATCAATCTAAAAATCTTGAAACCATAGATGTTTCAGGTTTATCGCAGTATTCGTATATCGATCACTGGTTGATAAAGATGAAATTGGCGACGGCGGGTTTGCTGTTCATGTTATGTTTATATATACAGCGATGCTTCCGGGTGAACTAGCCTCCTCCGCAGGCAACTATGATGGTATTCAAAAGGCAAATTTCATGTATAATATCGTAATAATCAATGTCGACAATGCGTTGAATCCCAGCGCCAAAATGCGTATATAATTTATACGACAACACAGAAAAATACAGCCATATTTCAATTACGAAAATTCAAAGCAAACTTTGGCCGCAGCCATAATTATATATAGGGATTCGTAGTTGGGGAAGGCGGAATATGGGGGATATCCCCACTATAGTCCATCCTGTGCGGGCATAGTTTGTTTTGAATTTTCGTATAAATTGAAATATGGCTGTATTTTTCTGTGTTGCCGTATAAATTATACGCCTGATTTTGGCACTGGGATTCAACGCATGTCGGCATTGATTATTACAACCATATACATGAATTTTGCCGTTTGAATACCATCATAGTGACCTGCGGAGGAGCCTACGGGTGAACATGAAAATGTTGTGGTTAAAAAACCTCTGGACTCGAGTCTCGAAGCAAGAAAATTGATACTGAGAGAAGCACGACTTATTAATCAATTAAATCAAGCAAACATCGTCGAATTTAAAGGAATGCCTTGACCGATATCAGCGATATGCACTTCTGATGGAATATGTCTATTGTCTATTTCGATTTTAGGCCCATCGGACACGATTTAATTGTACACAACCTAATATGCGGCGGATATGCCTTTTAAAGAGCCGAAAAGTATATTTTACACCATATCCGCGTTTTACCCGATCGGGTAAAACGCGGATATGCCTTTGAAAGAGCCGAAAAGTATATTTTACACCATATCCGCGTTTTACACGATCGGGTAAAACGCGGATATGCCTTTGAAAGAGCCGAAAAGTATATTTTACACCATATCCGTGTTTTACCCAATCGGGTAAAACGCAGATATGCCTTTGAAAGAGCCGAAAAGCATATTTTACACCATATCCGCGTTTTACCCGATCGGGTAAAACGCGGATATGCCTTTTAATGAGCCGAAAAGTGTATTTTACACCATATCCGCGTTTTACCCGATCGGGTAAAACGCGGATATGCCTTTCAAAGAGCCGAAAAGTATATTTTACACCATATCCGCGTTTTACCCGATCGGGTAAAACGCGGATATGATGTTTAAAACATATTTTAGAGAAAAATAGGTCATCCGTCCGTCCGTCCGTCCGCCCGCCCATCCGTCCGTCCGTCTGTCCGCCCATCCGTCCGTCCGTCCGTATCAGCGTTTTACCCTAACCCCAGTCACCAGCAGAAGGTCAGGTCGTAAACAATCTCCCGTGATAACAGATGGATTCATAAAGTCAGGAATGTCCGCGTAAAGTGTGGAATTTTGCACAGCAGTAAGAGTATGCGAGGAAATTTAAAACCGAATCGTGTCGCCATGTAAACCGACCTTCGTCTAAATATGTCTTACACCCAGCAATCACATGAAGCAGCGTTTCAGGTGAGGAGCAGAAAGAGCAATCGGATGTGGATGATAGTCCCCATTTTGATAGGTTCTTTCGTGTTGGAAGTGTGTTATTGATATACCGGATGGTGAAGTTAAAAATGTTTTTTTGAAGTTTTTACTCTGAACGGATGACCATAAAGAGTTGAATGTGGATGTGGAATTATTCATGATACTGGAAAAGAAAGAAATGAAGTGGTTTTGAAGTCTTTCTTCATTTTCTTTTCTAACAACTGCCTTAAGTACGTCTTTTGTGTCCTTGTAAATGTCATACTGTATGTTCTTGTTGGTGCTCGTAACCGCCCATAGATTGTTAATATCTACGTTTGGTGAGTATTTTAGAGCTGATCGAGAGACATTTTGACATTGGATAAATTTTGTCGAAGGGAGAATAATATTCAGACCAAATTTACTTTGTGGAAGCAACACGTTGCTTAGGGTAGCAGAGACAGGAAGTTCCAGCCATTTTCGAATATATTTTGACGCAATACCGTCTAACGTTTCGCAGATCCAGGTCTTAGATATATCAAAAACAGTAAAGTCCCAGGATATCTTTGACAGCAAGTAACGACTGTATAGGAGAATTTTATTTTTCGGGTGTAAGGGTAGTTCATTAATTTTATTCATGATGTCATTAAACACATCGAGTAATTCTGATTTGTGTTCCTCATCAGACATATTGAAATCAAAATAGCGACCCAAGTAACGGAAAGATTTGCCCATTTCGGTTCTGGGTACAAGATGGTTATTAACGAAAAGCTTGGGTAAATACTAGATAGATTTAGTTAATTGTTTTTTAATGCCAAATGTTGAACATTTGTCAACGCGTATAATCATATTAGCCCATTGACACCAGAT